TACCACGTCACAACATAAGGTAATGATAATGCGGGATCCGAACACGCGTATCTTCGGGACAAGAACGCCACTGCACTAACACTTGGCGATCTCGGCCATCCAGGTCAAGCAGGCGAGCTACTAAGTTGGAGTCAGAACCAGCCTCCGCCGGAATCCGGTCTTAACAGGACTTCAGTTCTGGCTTCACTAGAAACTACAAACTACCTTTGCAAAAGCAACTTGTTACACAATTTAACTATCCTCCGACTTCAAATCACAACAGTCCTGCCCGAACTTCCACTAGCCGAACTGCAAACAATCGAGGCCACGCACAAATCTTCAAGCAACACCTCGGAAAGTCTATATTTATAAATGGGGTGCTGTCTCCTTTCGTCCAACGCGACGTTCTTGTCTCAAAGGCAAAGACTCTTAATCTCCCAGGCAAATAATATTTGTTATATTTTCGTGTTATCGGTAACCGAGTAATGTACGTGGAAATGTATATTTTTTCTAAGAGAAACAAAGACCTCTTTTTGATAGTAGTATTTAGGATTTTTGGTACTTGTTCTTGGGGACACAGCGAACGTTCAACGATTCGCATAAGAAAACGCGATTTCAGCGCAACGCAACGACGCCCAATTTTAATTATACCTTTTCACGAGCTGTAAAAATTGCTTGGAAAATTATTTGGTATTAGTTCTTTAGGCCGCATGACTCACAACTCAACGCAACTCTTCAACTCGTAGGCTCAACCCAGATTGCCGGATAGCTGGAAGGCAAGTTGGAGGCTTTACTTGCTTTTTTATTGAGCATGAGAGAATGTACATTGACGGTACATGTATTTAATTCCAATGCAATAATGTGTTTACATTATTAGTTAACAAAAACCACCTCAAGTTAACCACGCCGGGCAGACAAGCCAAGTTTACCGCGCACGTACGGGGCAGAATTGAAATTATTCTCACATTTCTGAACGGGATCAGTGTTTTGAGAAAATATGGCCACGCTTCCATTTCCTGTGTCCGGTGCGATCCTCTCGAAAATCGAGTTCAGGTGAGAGATTTTCTTTTCATTAACTACTTTATCTGTCGTGTTATTGTTAGCTTCTTAGTTTTAGTGACCCCAGTGATCAAACACCGCTAGAGTTACGGATTAATTGTCACATTCTCCTGCATCAAGATAGTGTACCACAAAAGAACCCACTTCGGTACCCACTTCGCTGGACAGATTAGAATGGAGCACAATCATCACGGAATTAGTGGTTTTCGTGACTTGTCGACATGATAGAACTTTCATTAGACTAAATTAGTTGTCTGTATGAAGCAATGACATATGCCATTCTAACGTTCATCAGCGATCAAAATCAACGCGCAAAATGATGCATCAGCACTCCGGTCTAAATCTCGTCATGATTCACTTTCAAAATTCTTCATTGATAACATTCCGTTCTTGAGTACAATTCAGTTGGAAGTGACGCGTCACTTGCCTCGCACTTGACCCTGCCCTGTTGCATTTAGTACCACCTTCTTAAAACACGAGGTTGAAATTATTGTTGCACTAGCGGAAAAACGAGGAACTACGACCATCTCAAGCCTGAACTTTTTCGGTACTTCAACGCCACATGGATCACGATATGATTTCTTTCTTTTGTGTGCACGAGGCTTTCGAAATCTTGGTCACTCTTTAATAATCGCACACACAACTTCGAATTTAATACTGTGTATTCATGGAAGTTCGGGTAGCGACCCAGCTGTGATTTACAGCCCCCGACGGTACATTGTGGCGCCAGTGCAGGAGTAGCTGTTTGTGTGTGAAGAGTGCAAAAGAAAATTCTGATTTCAGATAATTTTCTTTGACACATGTGCTAAACGCTATTAAAAAATAACAAAATACTCCTGTAATCTTTTCACAACTGCACAACTGATGAGCACAGGTTCATCGAGCTATTTATGCAGGAATGTGTAGTATATTGGTTCTTTATTTCGCATCACTCTCAAATATTTTTAAATCCCGCGATATCCTAACATATTAATTTTATAGTACATTTTACAATGTTACAAATTAATTTTGAATAGTCGAATTCCAAATTAATTTAACAACAATCATTACGATTACTCTGCATGATTTTCCAGATATTAAATAAGTCGTAGAAGAAACAACTTAAGGAAATCTACTTTGCGATACCAAACATTTTATTGCAATTGGAGCAACAAAATAAGTGAAAATTGCTTACGTCCCATCCCAATTTTTACGAATTCGCGACACGTTGGCTATAGAATCTGCGTGGTGGTGTTAAGGGCTTACCCGCACGGCGACTCGACACTGCGGGTTGCATAAATGGTAGGTGACATCCACTCTTCCTCAAGTGCAGAGGGTTCAGTGGAATAAGCGACCATCAACGATTCAATAAAAAACTTAAGGTCGTTAAGATGCTATTGGTTATTTGAATGGGTACGATGATTCCGAAATTATCTTAAAAAATCCGGAATGCTAGAACATCTTTAACTTTCTGTTTTGTAGTGTTTTCTGTTTCATTTAACCGAAGGAAACTAACAATGCAAGGCTCTTTCTTGAATAAATTTTCTTCGTAAGGACAGAAATTCTAGTTTCATTAAGAACGACAATTGGGCCTCGTTTATTTCTCGCGCTAGTTCACGATATTGGCTGACGTCCAACCACCCACGAATGGTCGCGAATGAAATCCTTTTTTCCCTTTCTACTTTATAGGTTGGGTGCACATACCATGGAGAGATTATCCTGGAAACAGTATAATTCACCCAACACCACACGAGACGTACACGAATTATGATAATCGTAATGGAGAAATGTTACACTTCCATTCCAGGAAAACAATGAACGAAACAAAGCAATGAACAATTGTTTCGAAACAATATTTGAAGAAATGCTAGATGTTGCAAATAATTTTATTTTCTAATTTCTGAAATATTTCAGTTAGTTAAGCGGAGTCTGATGCGACCATTGTGCAGGATAGAGATGTGGCCATTTAAAAGTAGATCGAAGTCTATTTATTCCCATGGTATTACAGTAATTTCCAAGAACATTGGCTGATGCTTAAGTAATGGTAAAACGGCTTGCTAATATTCTATTACTTTTTGGTTTACATTTCTTTCTATTAACCGAGTCATGATTGCTTTCAAACACAACGGTATTATCCTTTTAATAAAAAGATTTATGAACGTAATTCATTGTTAAGTATTCCACGACCGCCGCTGAGAGAACGCAAAACATTTTTGAATGTGCATCGGCTCGCAGCTCCCGACGGTAACATTGGAAACCGAATGAATAGATTCTATTGAATAAATAAATAAAATTTGAACGAATAATTTCTTCACAATGTTTGCCGTCGGAAAATCCAAGTGCCATTCCGCAAACCTCACAACACCACAGACAAATTATAAATATGTCTATACATATTTCTGAAGTAAATTTCGTCAACTAGATTCGGGTAACAAATATTATTTATCTTTGAAATTAATGACAATATAAAAAAATTATTAACGAAAGTTCCTCGTTAAAGTATGAAGAAATCAGACAATAGTCTTCCTCACCAAACTTAAGAATTAATGTTAAATTATTAAATAGAAATATGGTTAGACTATCAGGCCTTGAAGAGAAAATATAAATCAAAGAAATTCCGTAATCGCAAGCACTCACATGCCGAAGTAAAAACACAGCAATTAAAATTAGAAAGAAAGAAATAAGCTAATTATTTAAATTTGGGCGAGATGTGTAATATAGTAAATAAGTAACGTCATGGCGCGAACACGAAGCGTGTCAGGGGCCTATAAAATCGCCACGCCAGCGGACGGAATTCCCCCTCCATTCCGTTAGTCATTCTTTGACATCGTCTCTGCCCCGGCAGCCGGAGAGGGGGTCGATTGCCTTCTTTTAAAACGTTTTCCTTTAATTAAGCCGTGTTAGCTTGACAACGACAATTCGTTTAAAAACGCCATCCTGAACAGGACTTTTTCAATCTAAACAAAATCCATAGAAATACCGCTCGCTTACAGGCCAATTCCCAATGTACCTGAGCATCATCATTGCTGGAGGTTGCCGTGTGACGTTGGGTTAGGTTGATGAGGGCTGGAGGAGCGGGCGTCGCAATGATGAGATTGATGAGAAAAAGAAGGAAAGAGAAAAGGAAAGGGAGAGAGGGAAAGACCGGGAAAAGGGAGAGAAGGAACGACCGGGAAAAGGGAGAGAGGGAAAGACCGAGAAAAGGGAGAGAAGGAACGACCGGGAAAAGGGAGAGAAGGAAAGAGCGGGAGAGAGCGGTGGGGATGAGCGGGGAGACGGGGGAGCAGGGGGAGAGCGGGGGGGAAGAGCGGGGGGGGAAAGCGGGGGAAGACGGGGCGGGAGACGGGCGTGAGAGCCTGGCGCGAGAGCGGGCGGGAGAGCGGCGGAGAAGGGGGCGGTCGGAGAGCGGGGCGGGAGAGCGAGGGCGGGAGAGCGGCGGGATAGACGGCGGAGAGCAGGGGCGGAGAGCGGAGCGGGAGAGCGGCGAGAGCGGCGGGAGAAGCGGTCGGGAGACGCTGCGAAGCGGGCGGCGAGAGGCGGGAGGCGGGCGGCGGGAGAGCGGAGAGAGAAAAACAGAAGAAACTAGGGATGAAGAGAGAGAGGAAAAGAGGAGAGAGAAAGGGGGGACCAGAGTCGGAAAAAGAGAAGAAAGGATCGAATAACAAATACAACAACAATTTGCATTGGACATCTTCAAAACCAATCCAAACTTTTAGAAAAGAAGTGCAAATAATTACAGATTGTAAGCCCATAGAAGGTTTCCTAGGTGTCAGTAGTGGAGAATTGTAAAATTCATTATCACAAACAATTATAAATAAACGTCTATTTCATAGATCAAGGTTAAAAATCCACACTTGCATGATTAGACATGAAGTACTAAAGGAAACGCAGTCAAACTTTTCTAAAAGAGAGTGCAACTCACCGAACTGTCGACCGTCCTTGTAAGGGGTGGGGCGCGTCCTGGTCCCAGCGCAGTTCCCCGGTTAGCGTGGGGCCGCGCGGGGCGGGCGCGCGGCGGGTCGGGCGGGTCGTCGTGGCCGTTGGCAGCGCCCCGCGGCCCTCTCTCGCCCTCCTCTTCTCCTGCTTCCTCGTCCCGCTTCCTCCTCCTCCTCCTGCACCTCCCCCTCCCTTGGTCGCCAGGCCCCTCGTCGGGCGCCCTGCCGCGCCGCCGACGTCGGCGCCGCGTCCTCGGGCGGGCCCGCGGCGGGGGTCGACGGGCGCGGGAGGGGCGGGGCGGCGCCCGCCTGCTGGAGGCTGGCCACCGAGCTCAGCCACTGCGCCTGCTCGTGCGCCGTAGCGCCCGCCCCCGCACCCGCGTCGCCGCCCGACCAGTGGGCCGGCGCGGGGGTAGCGGCGGCCGCGGAGCAGGAGGCCATCGACTGTCGCCACGCCGCCGCCGCCACCACCAGCGCCTCGTCCTCGCGCAGCACCGTGCGCAGCGAAGGCACCAAGGGCGGCGGTTGCGCGTAGTGCGCCTTCACGGCCTCCGGCACCTGCCGCAGCCGAAACGCCCGCTCTCAGCCTAACGCCCGCTCCACCACCATAGCAATTTTCAAGGGAACGTAATTACAGAACTGCCTCTAGACATGAGGGATTAGAAATTTTGCTTTTTATTTTTACTTCATTTGCTCTGGACATTAGTGACTATGAATTCTGAAAGGAATGTAATTACTAAGATAGCTCTGGACATGGAGAATTAGGTATTTTGAGTAATATAGTTATTAAACTACCTCTTGAGATGTGATATTTCGAATTTTTCAAAGAGATTTAATTGCTTCATTAGAGAGAGGACACTAATTTCCAGAAACAACACCTTTTCCGGGTTTTCTAATGCATTTCTTTTTTTCTTTTTTTCCCTTTCTTTGTTAAGATTCGTAATTTCACACTTCTTAAAGGAAATATTAATGCAAACGTGATACTGCTCGGTCATTCTGATTTTGTCATGATAAAGTTCAAATTAACATTTTCTTTGTCAGATATAGGGATAAGCAATTTTCAAAGTAATGAAGATAATGTAATTACATTTTTAGCTCTAGACATGAAGGTTTAGGAATTTTGCAAGAGGATGGAATTACTAAAACACACATTTGCATGAAAGACACCAAAAAGCTACTGATTATTCCCACAGTGTCAACAAATCTCGGCAATGGAATAATGATGGACTATAATTGTGCAACGAGAGGAACAGAAAATAGCTTCTTGAACCCTGTACAGTTGAAGAACAAAAAATTCTGTGTTTGCAGTAAAGTAGATGAAGTTCATTGAATAGTACTGGAATCAAGAAGCTGGGAGGACTGTTTGAAGTTGATGACAAGAATGTAAAACAATGAATTCAAGACCAAACCGCAATTACAAAAAATGTGCATTCCGAGGCAAGAAATGTATCCAGCAGTTGAAGTATTGTTGAAATACCTTTGCAATCTCGGTGCCATGGTTTTGCTGTTTTCCGAGAAATGCTGCAGTTTGAGAGAAGCAAAATCGCCAGGAAACTTGGTATTGCCTGCACTGAATTTCTAGCGAACTACGGGTCAGTGCAGCAATGGGTGGGTGAGAGAACCGTTCCTATAAGATCCATGGGAGCAGAAAAGCAACGTAGCACCGTCATGCTGGCAATAACTGCAGAGGGGTGCACGCCATACGTTGCTAGGGAGAATGAGATATTTCCCCTCAGAAAAATGAATGGATGGATGGATGAAAACTTTGACTGGATGAAGCATGTGTGGAGGCAGCGACCTGGTGCTCTGCTGAGACAATGGTCCATGATAGTTTTGGAAAGATTCCAGGCTCATACAACCAAGAGGTTAAGAAGTAAATTGATGAAGAACAATGGGGGTTTAGCAGTGATGACAGGCGGCACAACTGGGATGTTGCACCCTTTAAATGTGGCTATTAACCAGCCATTCAACATGCACGTGCGACATTTGTAATGTATTTGGGAGAAACTAATGGAAGCCACAACTCACCAGGGTGACCGACATGTGTCAATAGATTTTGGAGGCTTGGGCATTGATTTCAAGCCAACTGGTAGCGAAAAGTTTTAAAAGGTGTGGCATATCAAATACAATGGACGAGAACGAAGACTAAGTATTATGAAGTGTTTCCAGCGATTTTGAAAGTAGCAACGAATCAATGGTAATGTGACTGAATATGGTACACACGAAAAGGATTAAATTTAACTTCAACATATACCCTACGTACATTTGGGAAAAAATAAATGTTATTTTCGACACACAATTTCATTTTTATTCCAAATATTTTTCCACTAAAAAATCTCGTGTAAAGTAAATACGGTACTTGTATTCAGAGGTGTTATAGTTTAACTGTCTTAAGTGCATGTTGTGTTTGTGGTTTCCATGAAATAAAGTTACATTAAGGTAAGTTTTCTGGATCCATACAAAAGCTAAACTCGCTTCACTGAAATGATATGGAGAAGTTCTGTCTGATTCTTTCCTGGCAATTATTAGACAAAACCAAAAAATTGAAATAATGACTTTTTAGAATCAAATTTACACTCTTCCATCCCCATATCTCTGAAAATGTAAATACAACTGCTGACTAAAAAATAAATATACACACACTGAGGAAGGGGGAAAATACAAAGAGAGATAATTTACAAAACCTTGAGTACACTTGTAATTTTACTATACATTTTGAAGTGTTTAAACAAGTATTGTTATCTAAAAAAGTCTTTTTAAATAAAAAAGCAATCCAGGTGCAGCACTCACGATTACATTCCTACCTTAAGAAATATTTTTAGTATTAAATAAATTACACTTGCATGGAATTTTTTGAAGGAATGATTTCAAATTTAATGAAAGAGACATAACTCACTAGCTATTACTCACCCGCACAGTATTCCTTGGAGGCAGCCGCACTTTGAAACGGAATGGAGGGTTTTGGCGATGGGCTTTACGGATAAATTCTACTTTTATTGCATCTTGATCAATGGGGCCAGAATAACGGTCCCAGAGACGGACCCGTTCCGACGCTGAGCAGGAAGTCAACAAAGAACTGTCCTATAAGCACAAGAAACCATCACACCCAATGAATTATCATTGATAACTATCAATGAACATTTTAGCAAGAAGATATGGAATTAATTTCTATTTTAACATTTATTAGTTATCATAATAAGAAAACTTTAAGATGCGAAATAAGAGGGAATTCAGGGAAAAACTACTTCCAGTAAATTCTTTTAGGTGAATATAGCACAGATTGATTTCCATGTAAAAATCTAAAATTATTACACTCTCATGTACATAAGTAAGTAACCACTAAGAAAATGAGGGACTTAACTGAGAATAGTAGGTTGTAGAGTGATATGTGAGGTGTTGTGCAATGTACAGCAGAGAAATAATGAAGGAAGTTATTAAAGGGTCACAATGAAGTGGAGTGCAGAGTGGTCTTAATTGCACAAACATTCAGTCCGGAGTTAGATTATTGAAGTTTCTTTTTCTTAAGGTAATTTAATGTTTTATGAATCAGCCAGTTTTTAAATCATTATTCTTTTTATTATTTACGTTATTATTATTATTATTATTATTATTATTATTATTATTATTATTATTATTACTATTACTATTATTATTATTATATAATATGCATGTTAGCTATATTATCTTATTTATGTAATTAGCTGCCACCGGGTTATATCCATTTGCAGTTTAAATACATTAATCTTTATCTTATCCCTATAAGAAAATTTCTTATGGAGAATGATTCACAGCTAAAAAATCAATAAATTTCATTCAAAAGTACAACTACCTCCCAATGAGGCCAAAATACTAATTCAACACTGAGATCTCAATGTTCACTGAAAAAGAATCTTCAAGGCAAGAAGTTTGCACATTGTGACCTAAAATAGAAAATAATATTTGAATCTGCACACATAGTACTTGAAAGTGTTTCCCGACTGTTCAACAAATGGGTCTCCTCAACATTTCTCTACACTAAGACATTAACACCTATAAAATATATCTAATCCTATGAAAAGGAAAAACTATGGCAGAACATTATAAGGAAGCTGAGTGTTGGTGACATGCACAAAGTTGAACAAAGGCTTAGCATAAGAAGCTATTAACGTGGTACGCACCAAGAACTGCTCTGGGTGGTTGGGACACATCCAGAGACCGGAGGGCAGTGAGGTCAGAGGTGGATCCAGGCAGTCCTGGTGGAAGAGCAGCGGGCAGTAGTCACAAGCAACCAGAGGGGCCTTTCGACAGCTCCTGCACCAGACAACAAAGCATACTTTCTGTCTATCTCTCCTTCAGGTAAACTAATTTATTTCCATAAAATAAAGTTTGTGAACTGAAACTAAAATATTCAATACTTAAATTACTGCGAGGTGATCTTTTTTGACTTAATTTTTCAAAGAATTTAAATTAATAAATAATACATTATTTTCTCTTTGACTATTAATTTACTTTGACAAGTTTATTTCTGAAAATTTATTTTGACATATATAAAATGGAATTTAGCAAAAATATCAATTCCCATAAAATAATAAATAATAAGTTTATTACAGAATATAATAATAAAATAAAATAAATGTATAAGAAATAAAAATGTATAAGAAAAAATTAAGAAGATGTAAAAGAATGTAACAGAAATAATGTACATGCAAAGAAAAGCATTGATGAACCTTATTTACAATCCAAATCCCAGAATACATCCTCTGCTATTTACTATCCACAGACTCACCTTCGACACTCAAAACATGTCCGAACAGGTAATGGCACAAGGCCATTGTCAAGTTCATAGGGTTTCTTCTTAACACTCACTGACCCACGTCGGGGTGGAATACGTGCCTGGCCAGGATCTGCAAAAGCAATGAATTAAGTATTTCATACATTCAAATTTCTACACACTATGCAACCTACCTATATCTAAGAATAAGGAGCAATTTAAGGTAGCAAAAAGTTATGAATTGCACATTTTATATTATTTACAAAAAAATAAAAAATAAGCAAGTTTTACCTTTTATATTAAAGAAAGAAACAAAGTTGAGACAGAAATCCAAAAAGTGAACGACTCACGTTTATCTGTGCCAGGAAATGGGAGACTCATGGTGAGTTCCCGAGGCAGATCAAATTGACGTGGATTCAAGGCGGCTGCAGCCTGCACCAGCATTTCCATGCCCATGACACAAGGATCTCGACGGGCACGTTTCTCAGGTGGAGCTCCACCCGATGGTTCGGGTGCATCTCGTCGGACACCACGCTGTCTACCACGAGAATCACCTGAACAGTCATACCATAATTTCAACAAAGAGAAATATGGCCTGTGTTGTGTAGCTATCAAATTCATCAAACTAATTTTGCTTACAAAGAGATCAATAAAAACTTGAGATAATGTGTTTAATGTTGCCTGAGAATTTTATTAAACATTTTTACCAAGAAATCATTTATAATTCCAGGCTTAGCATCAAAAAATACCCATTACCACCAAAATAATAATATTGCTGGTTTTACAAATATTTTCGTACCACAAAAACATATTTCAATGAACTTTATTCTTCTCTAACAAACATTAAAATATAAAATGTTAGTTCTCTGGAAAGTAAAATTAAAAGAGCCATTCCTGTTGAATGTTGAAAATTAAAATGAGGTAAATTGTTCATTTAAATTCACATTTTCCTATTATAACCAACTTTCACATACAGAAAATAAACTTTATAATAAAATTACTACTGAAAATGGAGATTTCTCTACAGAATTTTTTAAATGGAGTTTTCTTACATTATAGTAAAAGCAATAAATTCTATCCACCTAAAAGTTTGCAGATGAGAAAAGTGAAGACTTTGAGCGAAGGAATTTGTACAAAATTAAAACATTCTATTAACACTATTGCAAAGGCCATGCTTATATAAACTGACAACCTTAAATGTGAAAAAAATCTGATCCAAAATCCCTTCAAGACATTCATGTAAAATTATAGTATGCTATGACACATTTGCTTAGCAGTGAATACTGCCAAATTTACAATAATAAAAATACAATATACATTTTACATTTCTACAACAAAAAACAACTGATTTCTTTCTTTATTAAAACCCCTTACTCCTGTGGGTCAGCAATAATAAAAACTAATAATTACTACTTTGAGCAGTTAGCAAAAAACAGGAGAAATTTCAGGAAAACTTCTTTACTATTAAGCAATGGAATTATAAACCACAATTATTAACATAAGAACAACAATAGGAATGTAAATTGTATTTCCACAAATGAAATTAAAAACAACTCAGACAAACTACAGGAAATCTCATGGAGACAGAGTAAAAAAACAAAATTCTAAGTTAGCTATGAAAGAAAAAACTGCTTTCCAAGTAACTTCATTTTTTTGGATTCCATAAACTTGTATTTGTCAAAATAAAAACACATGTACAAAAACATACAGTTTGAATAAAACAAACAACACTATTATAAAAACTATTACAATTATTTAACTTATTGTTGGCCCACACTTGTTACCATTATAGTGTATATCTACTAGTCAACAATTCACTCACCTTTTGCAGATCCTTGCTCAGTTTCTTGATTCTTTGCCTGAAACAGAGAAGTAAGAATAGAAAATATCTCAAACACATACTTCAAAATTCTCATTATTATTGTTACTCACTGCTTCCATGCGACAGGCATGACAGAGCCATTCTCCAATAGGCAAGTCTGCTTCATCAAGTGGAGGATCACTGCAACAGGAAAATTCCCATTCATTTCAACCCACCTTTGAACCTAATGCTCATAAGGCAGTAGGTTTGCCAAAGACAAGGATATTAAAAATTTTACTCTTCAATTACTTGAAGCCAAAAATGTAAACAAATGTTAAAAATAATTGTCACCTTTAAATGTTTCACTTCATTACAATTATGAAAACTGAATGCAAATACTGGTATTCTGTGATATTCATGCTGTGAAGCATTGACTTCTCCAGAGAAAATTTAATGGACATGATTCACATGTAACTAAGCATTTTAAATACAACTAAAAGCTTGTAATTACATTACCTTATAAAGTTACATTTTAAAAGAAAATAGAAGACAATTTTTAGAAAAATCCTACTTCCACTCAGGTGTAAAATGAAACCTTCATTTCAAGCATGGCTGTTCAGGTTTTCATTCATTGACAGTTAATAAAGTATTCCCACCATAAATTCATAAGCAGCTTTATTTTTACTAAGTAAAAGTATAGGTGTAATTCATAACAACCATCTGAGATGTGTGATACAATGTTTTGTTAAAAATTAACAAGAAAAAAAGTATTATAAATTACAAACAAATAAGTTTTGGAAATGTTTTATTTTCTTTCCCGTATATGAAGAAAACAAGATTTTTAAAATAAATGAAAATGAAGGCACTCTACTTTCAAATGGTAATATGAACAAATGTACAAAAAAATGTAAAATGACAATTTTTCTTTTCACAAATATGTAAGAGTTTACATTTCTGTGTACATTTCTAATGCTATTGACAGAATACGAGATGGAAACTAACAAATACTTTCCATGTTTTAAGAGTGAATATAGCTTTTGAAGTAAAGGCCACATTTATTGTCATGTGTCAAAGTAGTAAATCCCACCTCATCTGTCTGAGGTGTAGGGTCTATTGTCAAAAGTCAAACACTCACTGGCACTGAAAGTGGAAGGATGCTGGACATTTATCACAACACAAAAGGTCTCCTCCTTCACCACAAGCATCACAGCAATCATGGTTGTGACCTTTCCCTGGGCGTTTGTAATAGGGATGCAGGTCTTTGCTTTCCTTTTTCTTTGCCTTGGTAGCATCTTCACTAACTGGTGGAGCAATCAAGGCTTGAATTTGCTGCACAGAAAAATCATCATGTCGAGATATTCCTTTCATATGCATTAAACGACTTAATAAACTTCAATTCTATAATTATATTCAAAATTCTAACCCAATTTGGGTAGAACAACCGCCATTTTCGCCTCAAACATGGCATCATCACTTAATACTTACGGGCATCAATCCCCCTGAAGTATCCAAATCGTATTCTACAGACGCCATAACACTAAATAAAATACTGATCTATATAAAACACAAATTGGAAACTCTGTATTATGATCGTAGTCTCTTCATTTCTGATTTAATTCAATCAGCTATGTCCTAACAACCCACAGAATTTACGATGGTCCCAGTATTTCTTTGTCCATGCAAATTGCTCTTCCAGACAAAAATGAGAGGAAGGTTCTGGCCGTCATCTTGAGATTATACTTCAATTCATATGACACAAATATATACACACGTTACACAAATATACAAATCACAAACAATTTTCTTGGCGCAAATGAACATTATACTCGCGCATGCGCTATGAAGATAAATCGCTCTCGTTCTTCGAGATTTTTCCCAAATCGCGATTTACATATCGTTTTAGTTCGATTACTATCGAATGTCAAAGAATAAACATTTCTTATTTTCAAGGTGTTTTCAGTTTCTGTGATAGCTGTTCTGATTGTGAAAGTGTACTAGGATTCGGGTACAATTTGATGAATATTTCGGAAAGTGTTACGAAATGAACTCGTATAAAAAGTACTTTACGTTGACCCAAGTACCGTTTTATTTCACACCTCTTAAGGCGATTATTAATTACCTGTGCGAACGTTGATTTTCTACTATCTGTCAAAAATAAAATTATTTTCTTTTACTCCAAAAGAAGCATGAAAGATATTTCTAGATATGTATGTCCTCAATAATACAAGACTCCATGCATATCACGACTTTGAATCGTTCACATGCTACAGAACTTAGTCCAATTACTCTTGGCCCCATGCCATATCAACAAAATTTATAACAAATATCATGGCCAGCTGAAGCATTATCTCGAATTGTTAAAGACAAACGTAGTATCAAATGGCATTCACAAGTAGAGTATTATACAAGTTATTTTAGTTTTGATAAATTCATTAGTCCATTTAAATTTATACCCTAATAATTTACAAATTGCTAAGCACATCGGTAATAATTTCTACATGGTGAGAATATGTAATGTATAATATATCAAAATTGAATACTTTTTAAGTTGTAAAACCAAGGTTTGTTCAAGGTAGTTCTCCAATAAAGTTGCTATACTTTACAGCAGCCAGAACAAGCTTGTTTCATCCCTTCAATTTATCTCACCAGTGCAACATTTGATTTTTTTTTTTTATTACAGAACAGTGCATCAGTGAAACTCCATATGAACTTCATTACCTTATCCCTAGCATCATTTTCCACATCTTATAACAAATTACTTTTATTATCTACACGAGAGGCAGCTTGTACCACCAAGACTAGTAGTACAGATACAGAGATAAGGGTGTCAAACCTGTGATCTGTACCAATAAAACACTATACATCCACCGACTCAAGTGCCAGGTTTTATTTGCAGCATATCTAGGCCTATCCTTATTTCGTTGCAATTTAGTAATCCGTCAACCTTGGCAGCTGTCGCTGATGAACACATCTTGAGATGCCAAGAAAGATATAGGAACAGGGAATTCACAACTTCAGAAATTAAAAATAAAACTTTATTACAGCAATTTTTATTACAACACCTCGAGAACTGTAGTCTTACAAGATAGTGGTTACTGCCAGCTAACAAACAAGACAACATTAAGAGATACATGAGGAAAAGTATTGCCATTAGATTCTAAGTCTTCTTACAAGCCTGGACACTATCCCTTAAGTCCAAGTGCAATACAACCAACAGTCTGGACAATCATCTGCTGAAAGCTATATACAAATGAGACAGCAGATCTTGGACATCTGTCACACGCCCCACAGGAGCAGAGATAAATAACGATTAAAGAGCCAAAAATGGTGAATCAGACAGCCAAGATATAAATAGACCAAAAGAAGCATATCTGGAGGCAGCCAATATAATTTCTGAACTCGTTGACCCCTTGAAAATAAGAAATGGAATAATGAAAAATTTACCAACCTTTTGGTATATTTCTTGTTCTCTATCAATAGAATAACATTCTTGTGGTAATTGAATCATTATTTATATCACTTCTCCTTGCAACAACCCGGGCACCATAGTAACTACATAAGTGCAGAAGTGCAGGGACAGAAGACAGGAGATGTGACATGTTCACGCATTCTGTCCTGGAAGAGAAGTGCCTGAGCTAACAGGCTGCGGCGGCACAGGGGAAGCAGAGGGAGCAGGAGGAATGGCAGCAGTGAAGCCAGGAGGTGGGGGAGGAGGGGGTCCGTATTCAGTGGGTAAGGGGGATGGGAAACTGGCAGCAACTGTAGCATATGATGGAGGAGGAGGAGGCATCTTCTTCATTGAAGGTGGTGGCTGGAAACGAGGATCACACAATGCAGTTTCGTAGTCAGGCAAGTCAGGCAGCAATGTTTGGCTGTCTGGATCGATGTAGTGAATAGTGCGCTGCTGAGCTGTCTGGCGCAAGCTAAGGTACTTGTAGCAACCCCACACCACATGGATGAAGTAAGCCTGCATTTAGAAGAACACAATTAAAAACTTAAAACACTAGAACAGAAATTAGAATATACATGGTCCATTTAAATTCCCAAACTAGTGTATTTTGATTCACCAAATCAGAAAATTGTTTCTTGGGTTTCTAAAGAGATTTCAAACATTGCCAAGTTTATAAAAAAAAAATTAACTAGTCAAATTTTACTCCAATTCTTCCACTCATTGATTCATGAAAACAGAACCTAATTACTTAATAAAAAACTAAACAAATCAACTTGAGCCTTATACTCAAGCAAGCTGAATTTTGAATTTAATTTGAAAAATAAAATCTTGAGATCTGAATGAAAGAAACTTTCATATTAAAATCAAATTTTTATCACTTTTAACTTCCAGAAACCAAATATTAAGTAAGCAGCAATTTCACATTCTTCCCAAAGAGATAGTAATCCGGCAATAAAATGACAAGGCTGGCCAACAATCACTTCGAGAAATGCATCTTCCAAGTGGAAATGAAAAATATTCGTAACAGCTTAGGTCTTTTTCTCAGTCTTTCTTCACAAAACAAATAGAAGGGCCTCTGGACAAGGCTTCAAATAGATTGTAAGACAACTTCATTAGAGCAGCGAAAATGGTGGATATTTTTAGACTTTTCCTTACTTTCAATATATCTAACAACAAATTATAAAATGTTAAATACTTCACTTGGTTAATTTATTATTAGCACTATGACTGTATTATTAAAAAATACCAGACATCATTTTGAGGTCCTTATTAAATTTATCTAGAGGAGAATGCTAGAGAAACCAGTCTTAGTAATGGTAAGGTAATGAATCTTCACATTACTGTTGATGATACTAGTTACAAATATTACAAGAAAGATAGAAATGATTATTAAGGAACTTTATTGGTTTTGAGACTTACATTTGAATACTGTCCAACTTCATGTTTGAAGAGAAATAACACTCCAATACAGTTTTAAATACGTCAGTATCTTTAGTGTTTACATTTTTGTATTAATACATGTAATTCTACCACACAATAGTAATAAAAGTTTTTATGAACAAAACTTGAAATCCAGCTATTCACAATAATACCCCCCCCCTGCTTTACTGTCCTTGCTATATGTGAACTGCATGATCTTTGAAGGGCAATTTTAAGCGAATACTAGATTTCAGTCTTATCCTATTGATATTTTTCAGTTCCATACCCAAACTGTCTAGATATTTTTAATGTGGTGAAATTTTGATGTAGGGAATCATCAGTGCATGGCAAAAGCACTCAGCAGGTATGATGCTTGTTGGGTGGCAACAAGGATAGATTACATCAATGGAAAAGCTGCTGCTGCATCAATACGTGTTTCTCAATCATCAAGCACAAGGGCATTTGAGGTGAATAATTGGTAGTCGGTCTCACCTTGAGCACCATCATTCCCATGAAGGCACACACAGTCAGCAGAGAGAGGCACTGAAGATTCATTTCCATAAGATGTTCTCTGAAGGGCAATTGTGGGTTTCGTTCCACTAGCCGACGCACATCTGGTGGATAGCATAGGTACCCCACTGCAGTCAGACTGAACAAAGAATAGTTAAGTTACCATTTAAATAGAATTTCATGATAGTTTTAATAAAATATTAGTATTAAATCAATTATACAACTTCTCTTTTGCTCATAATGAACACTTTCACATATGCACACAAGCACCCACTTGCAGATGCACGTACACACAGCAATGATTTGAATTCATTTGCAAGAATTGTACAACGTGCTTGTCAAGTTCATCTCTGCAGTATGATTAAAATTGAAAATAATATAAATTTTGTGGAAAAACTAAGGAAATACTTCAGTTTAGTGTGATAGAACTCAAGAGTAGTGATTACATAAGACCCATACTCTCATATTTATTACACACAATAAGTGAAACAGCTTCAGAATCTTGTTATTTCATTAACTATTGATAACAACCAAATCACTAAATAACTTTGAACCCAGTAATCATCACAAAATTATGAATAATAACACACATGAAGGTATAGAAGGCATCAAACTGCTTCAAATATCCCAGTAATAATGATTATCTTTAGAACTTCAATACCACCAAGTTTATTAAGACTTACCCCCTTCGTGGAAAAATTTGGGTCTTTTAAAATAAAGAAATTAAAAACAAAAACCAACCTCTGAACTACTCATACAAGCTTTCTCACAATGAATCATTTCACAAAATGTTAACCTAGTGTAAAAAAACAAATTATTAAGACATTTTAAAAATCAAAATAGGAACACTTAATTTGGTTCTTGTTTCAGTAATGTATTTACTTTACTATTTCTTTTTTGCTTTTATAATCGAAATGGTTTTAAGTGTTGAAAAGTTTTAAATGATGCTTTGGAAATATTCAATACCTCCGCAAGAAAGATGTTAAAAAATATAAACCACAAAAACTTTTAACAGAGGGCTGGTAAAAGCTTTATGGTGACTGGCACTAACCTGGCAATGCAGAAGTCAAAAACTTGCAGACAGAAGAAGGGCATTAAATATGAAGGTTTACCCTTGACAGCTCCGTATACCATCAACAAAGTAATAAGGAATGTGCAGAATGTAACAACTACTCCAACATTCAGATTTTCTGTAATTAAACCTTTCCAATTCAGTTAATATTTCCTTGGACTTTAAAACACAATTTTTTCTAATAAATCATGATAACACACAAGTTGTTTAAATGAAAAAAAAAATCATATTCTTCACTTCCTCTTATATCAAAGAACATTCTGAGCTAATATTTTTTGCAATTTTTTTCTTATGGAATATATTATAATTTCTTTGGAATTTATTGCCATTTCAAATTAACATTTTATTTCCTTTTATCATGAGTAAAGACATTTAAAAACTTGAAGTATAGGCAAGATAACCCAACATCTTTAAATTTTGAAGGGCTAATACTCGAAAAATAAAAAGCTTAGAACTGTGATGGTTTGACTTTCAGAAATGAAACAGGGTGCTGTTTTATTTCTGAAAGTCAAGCCATCACAAACAAAGAGGAGTGTAAGATAGTATTTATTTGGCAGCTTTGTCAATGAACATATTTCAGTGGCAACTTTATTTAATTGACAAAAATTCCCTAGTATATCATAATTAATAGATGACAGAAATGAACTGTAGAAATTTAAGCTGCACATCAACTTTCAATAATCTGTATGTTGATTAAATTGTTTTATTCAGGCCAATTCATTTCCTTGTTGGCATTTTTTTCCCTCAATTTTTCATATTCACACAGAAATTAAATCAAAAAACCTGACTTACGGTGGTTGAACGTTTGTCTATGTCCTAATCTTGCTTCACCCGATGCGTACATTGTGGATGGAGCAGGGAAGTCTGAGGGATCACGCAGTTCTGGATACTCTGGGAACAGTCTACTATGATGTTCTCGATTCTCCACCTCTGATGAGAGAGGTGTGGGCAGAACAGGGTCTCGTGCCAGTTGTTCATCATCAATTGCTAACTCAGGATGGCGTAGCATCACAGCTATTACGGACAGTGCCATAACGTGAAGAAGCTGCAAACAATTTAGTAGAGAAATCTTGTCAAACAGCCAACTTTAAAATATACTATCTTTCTCAATTAATAAAATCCCTAAAATGAATTATTGTGACAAACAGATCTTACAAATTCTTTATTGCCAGTTTTAATTCTGTCATTATATATCATTGAAGAACAATATGTTCTACCAAGATGGAATTACATCTTTTAAGTTAATTAATGAACTCTTTGTACATAAAAAAATGAAATTAAAGAATGTTTTCTGAATTTGGGACAGAAGAGCTTAAGAAATACACAAAAGAAAGAAAGCATTTTCTTCTCTTAGAAAAACAATATTTAACTGACGACAATGAACCAGAAAGAAGTGTGAAACATACTTGGTTAATTTGGAGTGAATGCAAAACTTCCAAATGGGGTTTATGTTTTGTGGGTTCCAATTTCAAAACCATCCAGTACCAAAAAACGGGTATATCAAGTTACAAAAGAAGTTCATAGAAACTCATTATTCACACATTAAGAAAAGTAAGGAATGACAATATCCACGTTACGGAAGGTTTTCAGGGAAATGGAGCAACCTCCTTTACTTTAATGACAATGGGAGTATAATTGGGATATAATCGCGAAAATCAGTACTGCGTTTCTGGGAGAAATCTCAGAAACACACACACCTTTAAAACACTTTGAATGCTCAAAGGAAGAAAATTCAGATATCTATGATATTATTAGGAAAATTACTAAATAATGTATTTCTACTTCATCTGGGGAAGTTCATCTAAGTCTTCAAAATTAATTGTAGTAATGACAGAGTGAATTACTTGGATACTTTATGGTGCAAGATAAAAATTAGGTCACTCTTAAGGTTATGCTTTGATGAACAGTTTGGCTACAGTTCAGTCAGAATATCACTTAACTTGTTTTTAAAAAAATTCAGCACTGGTTTGAATTTACTCACAATCAGCAACACTAGTACAGGCATATTACAATGAAAACTACTAATGTTGAATGCTCAAATCAACATAAAAAATACCCTTTGCAATTTTGCATAAAAACATTTTATTGCTTTTACTCTTAAGATATAAATAGAACAAGTTTGCAATATGAGATTATATACTAGTTGGCCTCCGTTGTACTCAATGAATGAAAAATTCAGTGACTTACCAGGTGCCATATTCCCAAAACAATCGTTCCAGTCCGCACATGGCAGCAAAAGCAGCAGCGCCAATCATTTTGGCGCTGCCCAAATTTCAGCCTCATTCCTTCCACCATGAATGACACTGCATCACGCAAACAATTTTAACACGCAGTTTGCAACAGGAGGAAATGCGCGCAAAGCATTGTAATAATGGCGGAAGCTGTTCACAAAATACTGGATACATTTATTATCAAGAGACACTATTAACTGGACGTATCTTGTATTAAATTATTGCTACATAATTTGACAACTACCCAAACGAATGTCAAATTTGATAACTATTGTGGTAATGAAACGAGACATTCGATGTAGTACTAGTGTATAATTACAACGCAAAACAATAAGGTCAATAGACAACAATAAATAGTAAATTTTCATTCTTACCTGTCGTATGAGAAACAACGTAATTAGAGCCCGTACAGAGACGAATAACACACTTCCCAAGGCAAACGATACCTTTCGCTAACGTCTCGCTCGCTGACGCACTCACGGACACTCGTCCCCCAATGGCGCCCCCTAACCAATCAGAACGCGCCGTGAAGCGATACCTGAGCGATATACTCTTTGATTCGGGGACACGTATCTTCTGATCGTGTAGGTGATAGTAAATTACATTCGCCCACTTTTTACTAGTTCTTCGATTTAAATTCTAATTAAAAGTAAACAATATATTCAAAAAGATACAGTTATTCACATAAACTAAATTACGTCAACAAAGGAAGAGCAGTAGAACACAAATGGTTGGCTAAACTGACTACTTGCATTTGCGGGTTATTTGAAAGTTTGCAAGTAGGAACGTTTCTTTACACGGCGATTCTGCATTTGGATTCTGGAATTAAACTTATACCAACTTGTGTTCACAAGAAATATATTTACTAACACACGTTTCACAATACTTCCTCTTTAAGGGGAAACGTGTGTTAGAGGGGAGACTTTAGGGGGAAAGACTTGCTTTTAAATTTTTCCCTTTTCTTGTTTTTCTTCTTTAAAAGTAAATTCTTAGGGAATGAATTGCTTAGTAACAAAAACATTCTTTTTGAAGAGTTTTCAATAAAAAATATACGACGCTAGATACCCTCCCAATACACGTACATTATATCATGTCCAGTTAAAATAATGGGTGATGTAGAGGAACTTTAGAAGATACTGAAATAAACTATTCTAAGAATATATTTACCAGTGTTTTCCTTTTCATCCTTTGTATTATCTTTCTTTCTTTCTTGAATTTGCTTAACTTTCAAAGAAAAGAAAAGAAGAAGAAGAAAGAGAGAGAGGAACTCAGAACTTTGAGAAAACCCCTTCTCTGTTAGAAAAGTAAAATATTTAACTTTGCACATCTCCCCACAGTGAGTCACAAGCAGTTATACTTTTTGGCATAAAAAACAAACAAACAATTTAACTGATTAGCTTCCTATCAGAATTTTTTTCTCACAAAAAAAAATTTAAAGATTTTGAATTCTTTAGAACAAAGGTTCCTAGTTGATTAAATAACTTTTGTTACAATTTTTCTTAAAAAGTCTATTAGATTTTTTCATTATTTACATGTCTGGCAGCACATTAGATCAAGGAATTTGTCAAAAGAAATTTATATGCTCATTTCTAAGGAAGAAAACAACAAAATATTTTCAGTTTTGTTTTTATGTCATTTTTAAAATTTCTGTTATTTAATATAATCAATTTCTTCTTTCATATAATTTTGATCTTGTGATGAAAACTATTAATCACATTTTCTCATTAGGCTAAGGGGTCGTCCATAAATTACGTATTTCTGAAGAGGAGGGGGGGGGAGTCTGAGGCAGTGTTATTTTGCGTTACATAGGGGTAGGTGGGTATTAGTTAAGAGTTATGTAACATTGATATTAATTATACATTTTTCAACATTTGCTAAAATAATTCCTTTTGAGTCCTGTACTAAAATGTTAACTAATTAATTTGTTTTAAAAATATAAATAAACTAAAGTTCTTAGTTGTAAATAGTGACAAAAAACAAATATTTTTTCATCTTTTTTTTTTTTTTGGAATATGTAAGATTACGAAGAAAATATTCAAAACTGAAATGAAGTATATTCTAGAATCCATTTAAATTGGCATAGACTCTCACTCTTGCATCATCCATGATGGCATGTACATAGCTTGTAATCAACCATTTCTTGCCCAAGCATTATTCCTTCACTCATAACTTGGCCCAATTTTATTCTTGATACAGCCAGCATCGTCATCTAATTTCTACTTTAATTATCATTAAATACTTTAATATAGTTAAGTAAAGTAAAATAAATACAAATTGTTTTTTCTGTGCTATAATTTATTTTCACTTAATGCATTTACAAGGGGAGGCTGTTGTCGTGTTACGTAATTATTAAGTAGGGGTTCAAGTGCATGTTACAGGTGCGTTACAAGGGGGAGAAAGGGTAGTGAACATACTCCAAATTTGAATTACGTAATTTATGGACGGTCCCTAATTTCAAATTTTACTTCTTTTTCTCCATAGAAAATAAGAGTTTAGCAATCCTCTCTCACAAGATTTTAACTCAATGACAACCTTATATTTATATTAGACGTTTTCTTGAAAGTTAATTTTCCCCAAACATTAAATGTTATTTAGAGAAAGAAGCTGCTGCATAAATAAATATTTGGATTCAATAGAAATGATATGAAAGATATATAAATACTTGTTTTTCTATATTTATTTGACACATATTTGGATAATGCCAAAATTCACACATCAGTCAAGATTACAAATTTTTTATTTGTATTCAAGTTTCTTAGGCATACAACAATATTCAATGTATGCAAACAGTCAGTTCTGAACTGCAAACATGTTTAATGCATTGAATTAAGTTGGATGTGGAAATAAGTATTCATAGCATTATTTGGTTATAATAACTGGGACTTATGCACATCTGTGTATACAAGACTACGCAACCACAAAATCTGTGCACAAAGTGTTTGTCCAGACATTTAATAGGGATTAATGCACCATTTTAATGAAAGCAGTGATGGATCTCTTCAAATATACATTGTGTAAGATGTACATATGTTTTGGTTATAACAATCAACACTGAGGTAAATAATCTAGCAATAGGAAATCATATTTGTGAAATAAACCAATTTCTAGTTAATAAAATGCATCTACAAAAAGGATGGGCAGAAAATGCATACAGTACATATTCACCAACAGTTTGTTTAATCTTTGTCATGTAATATGTACACATACACTTAAAGGAGACGTCATCAGTATTATGCATTGGAGAAAACATTACCAACAATGGAGTATTTGCAAGGATAATTTATGATTTTCTACATGCAGTTGTTGGTACATGTTACCTCATTCTAAAGTTAGCACTTTGACTGGTATTTCTGCTTCCAAATGCTACCTGGAAATGCACTCTCACCATTTGTGGAGTAGTAATAGTGGATCCAGTTATTTCACAACATACAGGCTATGATAGTAGCTTGAGCACAGATTATGATGTAGAGTTAACAATCATTGTCAATATATTTCTTTTAAATGTATCTTGTAAAAATGCTACATCATGCTAATATCATTTTGGGTTCAATTTACAGAAAGCTGAGCGGGTGTAAAGTTGTACGTATTACGACTCGATCAATCGTTACAGCATCATCCACACAGTAACGGATATGTATACACTTGCACGACATGGAGTGTACAGTACATAGATTTGTTAGAAACACTAAAATGCTCACCTACACAATGCTCATTCAGTTATATATTTTGCAAGGTCTTACCAACCCCTGTGAAACAAAATACTGCATTTGGCTGGATGAACTTGTCATTTTCGAATGCCAATTGCAGTTCGTCCCATATTGGATTTTGATTTTTCCTATAACAACACCAAGCAAGCTACCATTTTTTTAAAGGATTTTTTTATCCACTCCAGACTAGATATATTTTACCTCACAATTTATTATATGTTTCACTACATTCTAAGCCTATTTGCTAGACTAGCAAGAAACTATTATCACCAATTTTAACAAATTTTGAAGTAGTACTAAAAGGATACAGAGTACCATGCCATTTTAAGAAGTCCCTCTAGGGGAATACAAAAGATTCTTAAAGAAACAATTCTACATATTTGCTTTATATGTTCATAGAAGAATTTGTTTATATAAAATGTGCAACAATGTCATGGTGCATACAATACAAATACTTTCTGACCTATTTACAAAATATTATAACACAAATTTACAAATCCAACTGAACAGAGCACTACAACCTAATTTTACTTAACATAAACAAAAGAGCACCAGTTCCATAATAAAACTATGGAAGTGATGCAAAAAATATCAACAAAACTCTCACAGTATAAAACTGCTTAACTTAAGGATCCACTTCTGTGGTGCTATGAATGCCTTGTGGCAAAACATGCCGCTCAGACCATATGTGGTTAGCCAGGTGGGGACATAGGAACATCAACATTTACAACTGGTTGAACTGTACAGCTGGGAGTTCCCTTGCGGCAGCATGTCTCAGAAGGAGCAATGCGACTTTATCAATGCAGTATAAATATTCTATCACCCTAAACCAGTAGAATTATATTGACTTTGATATGACCCAATACAGTGATAAACATGCATTCAGCCAAAAATATATGTACAGTTAATACAACATAAATAATCTGTATGTTTTACTTTCATTCATGAGGAATGTGAACTATATTTACTTAAAGCTATATGCAGACAACTGAAAACAAAATCATGTACAGTGGGACAATGGCCACTTTATCAGAGCTATCTCTACAGTATTAATCATAGAATGCATTACAAACTGGCACAGAAAGACAGCGGAATTCTTCAGTTGTACACAAGTGCCTGTCAGGTTTCTTTGCATCCACTGTTTTAGGATGGTTGGTTAGATAAATGTTTCAGTACGTGAAATAGTCCATCTTTTAAATTTTACAAGCAGAAATTTGCTTTGACTAGAGTTGAAAAAATGGCATTTCATGTCTTTCTCTCTCATGTTACTGCCACTGATAATGGGGAAAAAATATGATCCTATCAGTGTCGACGTCTTTGTAACTGTCTTTCCCTCCATCTAATTTTTAATTCAACATATTTAAAAACTCCAAAAAACCTACCTTTTACCTTGCTTTGCATTGTAGTAAATGTTTATCCTTAATACCAGAATTTAATTTTATCTAGAGATAGGCAATGAACCATATTGAATCCACAATTTTTTTTTCAATTCCAATTCGTAGTGTTCTGAAGATAAAAAACCTAAAAAATCCCATAAAAATTAGTTTTCTAATCTTTTAATGCTTTTGCTTTAAGTCAAAAACTTGTACAATGTGGCTCATAGCTTACCAGAGGTTAAATATTCGAGCAAAAAGTCAACAGGTAAATGGAATGCAAAGCACTGTAAATGTGAATATTTTTTTGAGACTCAAAATTACACATAGATAAGAAGAGGGTGGTATACATTGAGTTAATTTAGGCATTAGACTCTTTGAGGTTGTCAAAATACTCTACAAGTTGGTCGTAGTCCATGGTGAGGTTGAAGTCGTCCAGTCCCAGCAGGTCCTCTTTGGGCCGGAAGTCATCATTCAGGTCAGCTGCACCTTCCATAGCAGAGAACATTGGATTTCCCACAATTGTGGCTCTCTTCACTTCTGGGCTGTTGCCACGTCGCTGGCCACCACCAAGCATGCCCATCATGCCACTTGATGGATATTCCACGAAGTTTGGACTGAGCTGTGCTGCAGACTGTAAGGAGATGGAGCATTAATGTAACTGAATGGAAACATATTAATGTAGTTACAAAAGAATGAATAAAACTAAAGAAAATATTAGAAGGAGCATTTTACAGGCCAAATAACACACATTAATAGTGCAAAAAGATTCACTTTCAAAAGAAATTACTGCTACCAAACAAAATAGACTTCACATTTGCTCTGCACATTCGCTTAAAACTTTTAAAGAAAAGAGAATTTGAAAATTACATCTGTACATCTAGGTAACATACATTGACATCAGGAGCAACATTCACAAGATCAGAACATGTAACCACATTTTTAACATTTTCTTAAAATGCTCCAACATTACACAAAATGCGATGGAACACAATATTTGAAACCGTTAACATGATTTTTAAATATTTATTCATTAAGGAATTTTAATTCACAAATCCTGATCACTTTGAGATGCCAAACTTTGTTTTTACCTTTTGTTACCAAACTGTCAGAATAAAAAAGAATGAATCTACTTGTAGTTCCACAATAGCTCAGATTGGCAGGCTGGTGGATTAACTTTAAAATCATTTCACAAATATCAAGAAAACAATGTTATATCAGTTAAAAAAATATTATGGCTATATTTTTCAAAAAAGATTACTGGATTTTACTAGGTTTATTAACAGTTCTGCCATTTCAAGTCATATATTAGGAGTTTGAAAAATTAACAAAACATGAAAAAATGTTGAGACTTTTTCAATTGTTGGTGTTTGCTTTTTTTAGCAAAGAAACAGATACCAAAATTATGGCAATGAAAATAAACATACAGGTTAAGTAAAATGTCCAAATATTAAATTCTTTTATACTTTCTGAAGAGTGAGTGAATTTTATGAATTAATTATGAATTAATGACTTGGTTTGAGAAATCTTGAATCCTGTGAAAGTGATCAGTCCAATACTGCAATGAACTGCCAATGGAATTGACATTAATAGATTTTGCTCTCTGAGAGTAAAGTTGAATAATGAAGTTGGTTGATATTAGGCCTAATGGAGGGCGGATGAGGGTGAGAGATTAATGTGGGTGAGAGTGAGCGAGCGGGGCGGGGGAAGGGGGGGGGTCAGATGGGATCTGTACCTCCCCCATTTTCTTTGGTGGGTTTCATTTATTTGGGTATATTGGAGGGGATTCCCGGGGAATTTGTGCTTTCTCTATTGAATCGTCCCCCCAATAATTTGGTGCCGGTGTCGCCCGCTGGAAGAACTGCCAGTTACGACAATTTGGAACATGGCCTACCAAAGGAGCGTCGGCTGCGGCAGCGTACGCGGCGCTGGCGGCGGCGCTGGGGGCGGGTGCGGCGGCGACGGCCGGCGACAGCGCGGCCGCCTCTTTGGGCGCCATCTGCGCCCTGGCGGCGGCGGCGTGCGGCGACGCGCGCGGCTGTGGTGGGCGGCACGGCGGTGCCTGCTGTCGGGCAGGCGGAGGGGTGGGGCGGCGGCGCGCCCGTGCGCCAGTGCGTTTGGCGGCGGGCGAGGCAGCCGGCGGCGAGGCGGCGTGCGCCGCTTCCGACACGAGGTCGGCGCGTGTGCGGTGGCGCGGTGGCCTCCTCTCCCGCCGCCCGCCCGCGCGCTGGCTGTGCGGTGATTGTGGTGGTAATGGTGTGGTGGCGCGCGCGCGCGGATGGGCTCTGCGCGCCCGCCGCGGCCGTGGCGCGCATTCGCCGCCGCCCTTCGCCGCCGCGCGCGGCCCCGCCGCCGCCCGCTAACATCTGTGTGTGTGCTGTGCTGCTGGGCTCGAGGAAGCGGGCGAGGCGGCGCCGGGCTGCAGTGCGCCCCGACTGCCGAATCGCCGCGTACGGCGCGATGTTGCGTGGTGGCGGCACCGGAGTTGATCGCCCCCCCCTCCGCAGCCGCTCGGGCCGCCAGCCTCCGCCTCGTCGGCGGACGCGGCAGGCCGTGGCAGGGGCGTGGGTGTGGCGGCGGGTGCTGCAGGTACGCGGAAGGATTCAGCAGTCATGTTGCAATAGTGAGATCATGGCTGTTTGCTCAGCGCGTTTGGAACGAAATGCTGCGCAACGGATTTTTCACGAAATCTTAGTATCGTAAACTTCGTTTCCAATCGAGTCAGAGATCAATGAATGGTTTTATACTGAGAATGTTCCGTTGGAACATAAGGTTTCATTGGGATAGGATAATTCGACGAAGGAAAAGCTATGTGAAAGGCGAGTGAAGAACGAAAAGGAGGAAGATGAGACGAGGAACAAATTGGCGAAGAAGAAAGGAAGAGGTGGCGAAGAGCAGAAAAGGTGAGAAGAGAAGAAGAAAGAGGGAGGGAGGAGAGGAAGAAGGAAGAGGAAGAGGAGAAAGTGGCGAAGAAGAGAGAGAAGTGGCGAGAAGAAGAAGAAGAAGAGGAGAGGAGAGGGAGGAGGAGGAGAAGAGGAGGGAGGAGAGAAGGAGGAGAACAGAGTGGTGAAGAAACAGCAAGCGGTGAGGGAAAGAAAGAATCAGGTAAAGAAAGAACAGGGACAAAGAAGAATGCGAGTGAAAAAAGAAAGTAAGAGTCAATAATGTGAGTAGAGAGGATAAAGGTAAACACGAAGAAAAGAGTTACGAAAAAACTAATAAAAGTTGATTCTAGAGCACATCGCTGCCGTGACACCAAGCCATCACGGCGCCCACTCACAGTCTGCCAGAGCGAATCGTTTGGCCCGCGCCCGCGGCGGCGGCTGCTGCCGCGGCGACGCGGTCGGCGTCCGCGCGGCTGCAGCGCGGCGGCGCGCCGCGGGCGGACAGCCCCGCGGCCCTTGTGCGTTGGGCACCGGGCGGCGGCGTGGTGGGCGCCGCCTTGTCCTTGCTTGCAGTAGGTGGCCGTTGTCGATGGGCGGCGCGCAGGGCGCGAGGCGCGAGCGCGGCGCGCGGCGGCGCCGGCAGCGCGGCCGGCAGCTCGATGTGCGTGGGGTTGTCGAAGCAGTTGCCCAGCGCCGCTGCCTCGGCCTCCGACAGCAGCCCGCCCTCGCCGCCGTAGCCCAGCTGCGAACCACACCCAGCCATTGAACGTCGTCCGCATGTAATATAATGATTTGTGACGGGTCATCAGCTACGCGTGGTTACCCAATCGGGAGCTTCTATACCTAACATTAGAGTCGTAAAGAAGCTCCCGATTGGATAACGGTGTCTAGCTCATGATCTGTCACAAGCTGTACTACATTTAAATCGGACAACATGCGCACGTTTTCTTGAGCCCCAGAATCCTTAACCCGCTCCTCTACCATTAGTTAACGTTAATCATTAACAACATACCATTAACATTAGTTGAATTAAGAATAAACTACAGGAACGCGCGTTGTTGACAATATCTGACAACTAGAAACGTTAGTTCCCGTGTAATGGAAACTATTTTAATCGAAAACGAGCTACGTATATTTGAAATATTTCTACAACAGAAATCAGCCCCCCTATTCTCTCATTTAGTGAAACGAGGGCTCAAGAAAATGTGCACGGATAATACCCATTCGAAGGGTTGGTACAATGGCATGCAATGTCAGCAACCTGAATATCAATAACGAGAACGTGTCATTTGGTTATCGTCTAAATATTCGTGAACGTCTGTCCTCCCTCAGTGATGACACAACTTTCCATTTGACCATCACTTAATAATTTATAAGGATCAGGATATTACAGCCTTCAAGCTTATTTAATAAATAGTAACATTTACTTTAGTTCCTGGTTTTTGTTTCTAATTGCTAATAATCTCTGGGCAGTTGTCTGTAGTTAAAGTGGATCGATCTTCAACACGGCTTTGCTAAAAGATTGACTTGATATTTCAATCATCGGCTTTCGGTTCTCATTCAGAATATAAAACGGAGCCAAATACACACGTTACCGGGATTAAACAGGGTAAGACAATTCATCCCATTTATTGCATACCGAAGCAGAAATACATACTGATTAATAATATGGAGCTAAAAGCACGGATTAATTTTCTCATTGAATTGGACAAATGTGGCATTGGGCTTCACTGCTGTGACACGCCACTGATGAAAACTGAATACGCTTAATTGAAATACCTCAACGAGCACAATTCGCATGCAAATACAGAGAAGCTTAAATCGGGCATACCCAGTATATGGCAACAGCTGTGGAAAAGTAGATTACATTTTTATCAGCCTTTATATATGCTCTCTTCGAAAAGAATTCACTGTGAAAATTAATTTTGACTATTGGAGATGTCGCAATTTGTCAATACAAAGCTTTTAACCCCGCAACACTTTGTAAATGATAAGAATGTACACCCATAATATTTGTGCACTTAAAATTACTCATTTTTTAAAATAGAGAAATTATATTCGAAACTGAGAAAATATACGCAAATATTGTTTTGGGAATGACAAATACTTCAAATTGTTCGAATTCAGTTTGAAAAATCAACATCAGACTTATTCCAAAGCAAATATTAGTATTTTATTCTCTGAAAATATTAAAAGGGGGAAAATTATGTCACTTTTCAGAATTCATTTCAAAAACCCTTTAAATAATAGAGCGATTAAATGACACAAAATTTTATTTGGTTTGGGTCAAATGTGTTCAATATTTAGAAGGGGACTTACAAAACGGTTCGATTAACTCAACTATTACTTGAAAAACTGAACATATTGCATTCGCCGTCTTACTTGTGAAGAATATTAACATTTCTGTCTAAGGAACGGAACGCACAAAATAAATATCAATTACCAACGCACATTTTCATTGTTGTCATAACAAATATTCCCAAGCGGTATTGTTGTCGTCCGCGGCGATCGATACAAACATTATTGGAATAGTTACGCGGATACCATAAAATTCAGAAAGTATAAAAACGTTTTGTACGCTTAATTTACAATTGTGAATAGACATTCGATATCAGCTTGTAAAGATTCATAAAATCTTTCCATTTTACCTCTCAGCGTCGGGTCCTAAAATACCTATTGTAATTGTTAACATTAGGAACAAATAGCATATTAAAATCGTCGAATCCTCCGATTCTAGAGAACAGATAGTATATTTAAAAAAATCAATTGTCCAGAATTTCGGTTTTCGAATTCTATAGCTTTAAAATTGTTTTTTCAGCATACTACTGAAATATAAACATCTGTGGAATCTTACCAGGTGCAGACAATCAATTGGCTGCTGTTAGCAGTGGCATATCTAGGTTTTCCAGCGCAAAAATATTTCTACACAAGTGTTTTTATAACGTAATTATAAAAACGTGTTTAAATTATGCATTGTGTAAATGTGTTTCTAGCTTAAAATGAAGATGAAAACTACACCTACAGTTTTACTCATAGAATAAAGTATATTTCATGTGGCAATTAACGGTTTTATTAATAATTTAGTGTTAATTTACTTGGTCAATTGTAAAAATATAAAGTTAAAATTGTTTTCATGCTCGAGTCTGATTTTGCCGCCATCTCACTACCGTGACAGTTTGCTCCATCTGCTTACAAGTTACAAGGTTTGTAGTGTAAAACTGCTCGATAATGGCAGATTTGTGATTGCTAAGGACGCCGCCAAAGGCACTGCGCTGTGAATCTCGCAGTTTTCAAGAGCTTGACTGGCTAGCATTTTAGTGCATGCGCCTAACCCACCATACGAATCCTCATGCTCTGACAGACGTCAACAGGTTGTCTCGTTCACAACAGCACATGCCAGACCCCAGACCGCTTCAAACTTAGGCCCAAGTGTTCAGAGAAATCAAAGTTTATCTTCGCAATTATTATGCACCTTACAAAAATTTTGATCGGAAAATTAAACAAAAATCCAATTTTTTGAAATATATTAAAGAGTTCACTAGTGGGAGTTCACAATTAAATTCACTAGTGGGCTGCACACCGTAACACTTATGGGTCAGCTGCCTCTGAAACTTACACTTAAAAGCTACTGTTTTTTTTATTTTTAATTTCTGTTACTTTATTACCCCAAAAATTCAAACGTACATTCTAATATAACAATCATGGAGTTCTTTCTACAATAATTAAAAAAAAAGTATTCTTATTCTGCATGAATTACATGAACTGTATATCATTTTGCCAGGCATTCTTTACATTTATTACCTGACATGGAATCCCTTTCCAATTTTTACAGTGTATTTTACGACACAATACGGTACGATTCAAAATTTTCGATCTTGGAAAGGTAGATAAATTTTCATCAGTAGAAATCTAGGAAATTCATGATTCATTTTGCTTATAATTTTAATCTTTTTCGCTTTTCAACTGCTCGGTCGTATAGTGACCATCGTAACTTATAACTTTAAGGTATCGGTGGGGGCACACATTCTAACAACATACACATTCATGCCCAGGGCGATATTCGAATCCACGATACGGCCCTTCAGCCTTAGCGACATCGGCTATCCCGGCCGGCTTTAATCTTTATTCGGCCAATGTTTATCCCCATTTGCAGGATTTCAATCTTCTAAGGCTGCGTCCCCCACCCTCCGCGAGTCGACCGCGCCGGTCGAGCACTCACCATGGGGTTGGCAGTGATGCGCATCTCCTTGTTGTTGTTATTGTTGTTATTGTTGTTGTTGTGGTGGTGGTGGTGGTGATGGAGGTGCGCGGCGCCGGCGGCGGCCGGGCCGGGCTGCTGGCCGTGGCCGTGGCTGTGGCCGTGGCCCGAGGCGCGCTCCAAACGTGGCGCGGGCCCAGCCACAACGCCAGTCGGTGGGCGGTGGTGGACCGCGCGCGCGCGTGCCGCGGGGGCCCGAGCCGCCCGCCGGGCGGCGCGCGGGGCGGCGGGAGCGCGGCGCGGCGGCGGCGGGGCGGCGCGCGACCCGGCCGCCCATGCAGCGCGCCCGAGTGGCGGCCGACGCCAGGTCGCCGGCCCGCCCGACGCCAGCGCCGCCGGCGACTCCAGCGCCACCTGCGGCTTGAACTGAAACCGAGAGCGTGGGGTTCTTCAGGGCTGATGGTCTGGGGGTATTGAAACATTTACCTTTTCTTTTTTTTTTCTTTTTTTGCAACACATGTGGAGGGATTCACATTTTAATTCATGAACTAGGTGCTCAATGTTCCTACTCGTCCTTGGGCTGGAGGCACCGCTGGGGCAAATACAGATTTATCTTCCCCGCTCGATTGTTTGACTGAATTACATTTACCACATAAGAGCTTAATTTTATATCAATTTAGGGATGGTTTTTTGTTCCTCTTCCAAGAAGCTGGAGCCTACCGACGTCTCTGACATTGTGTGTAATGTAGGTAGAACCATGGTTTTGTTTGATATTCTCAGGGAAGTATGGGCCAAAGTAAGTTGAGAGCCAACGATATGACATCCTACAGAGTTGTTCCTCCAGAACCAAATTATCAATTTATTATAAGATAAATTTTGTATGAGGTGTGAAGGATTTTATTTTGTTTGTGAAGACAAAAACCTTCAACTTTCCTGCATGAAATGAAGAAAAGGCTCAAAGTCCGGAACATGGCAAAGTTTCAGAAACCGGGTGTTCCACACTCGAAGACGCGAGGATCAAGGGGAGGGAAAAATTCTTTTTGAGCATTTTCAAGGCAACCAATCCCAAGCTTCTACCCAAATGCTCTCGAAATTTAGGGTAACTCCAGGGTGATTGGTCGAAACAGCCATACATTTCCGATCAGCTAATACAACTATTAATTCTATCTTCAGAGATATCTAATACAATTGTTTCTTAGAATTACTTTTACTACTAATTGACGACTAAAACAACTGTCTATTCAATATAAGTCATACACTGGTGATTGGCAGATATATGAATTCTCTTTGAAAATATCAGACATGTAACTACCAAACACCAGTGCGCGATGTGATGTCTATCAATCAGGTGCAAATGTCACATTTAACTTTGTTATATATAACCATACATTCGTTGGCAAAATGAGGCCGTCATCGACCCAGAAGTTAGTAACATTTATTCGGCCACATACCGTCTGCGGCGGTGGGGGACGCACCTTGGAGGCGTAGACGACGCAGGAGACGACGAAGACGACGATGGCGAAGCAGAAGGCGGCGAGCAGCACGTACATGCCGATCTCCAGGGGCGTCATGTGGAGCGCGGGCCCGCGGTGGCGGGCGCCGACCCCCGAGCCCAGGCCGCCCGCCGCCGCGGCCGCCGCCGCCTGCCCCGAGCGGTGCTGGCGCGCCTGCACCGTCGGCTCGTGGTTGTTCTCGTCCTTCAGCGGGATACCTGCAACGCACGAACCACACGCGTCACGCACGCGCCCCGTGGGACGCGGCACGCGCGCCGCGCCGGAGGGAGAACCCGAGTGTGGTTGGGACAGGGCTGTTCTGGTTTAATTGCTCGGTTGGAGTTGTTTAAAATGTCGTGTCTTGCACCCCAAAGGCCACTTTGACTAGAACTCTCGGGTCCTCAGGTGTTACTTTGTCCAGAATTATCGTGTCAGTTTACTATGTTGTTCCGCATAATTTACTCTGTAATTTTCACAGTGTCATAACAAAACTTAGTTCATAGATTATAAGCTCTTCCAGAGGGTATCATCGTTTGAAAGTTGCAGTCCTTAGATCTGGTAAGTATCTCCTCAACATTGCACTCAATTGCCGTCCAATAGAGTACATACAAATCTTACATATTATGCAGTTTCTATAAATTCCCCCAGCAACATTTCGCACATCGAATCTTGCTATAATGCATTCCTTTAACCATGTTTTGTGGGCTTTTGTCTGATTGCATTATTAGTAAGAACCACCCATAGTTTCTAGCAAAACACTACCTTCAGTAACTTACACGTGTTTTTTCTGTTTATGATTGATTCCATAGGATGCACCTAACTACATACCGGTATGTTATTTACCTGATAAACATCCCAAGACTAGTATATTATCATTTTTGAGATGCGTACTAGCTATATTTTCAGAAGAGAGCTACTCAACAAGCACTCCTGACAGGTTATTCTGGTGCCAGCCTGCCAGGAAGGGGAGCAATCGCTGTTGCTCATTCATGGAGCATAAGCTTCGTTGGATTAGGCCAGGGGTGCCCAACTTCCAAAGCCTCAAGGGCCACAACTAAAACCTTTCATTTAGTTTCGGAGCATATTTTAATTAATAGGGGGATAAAGTCATGCATGATATCAGGCCGTACCGTGCAAAATGCTGTGAAACATATTGGGATGAATTTGAATTTACTAGAGAAAGCCCTTAGATATAAACTTAATCTATTTTTGCATTAAAGAGGTTTTGACCCCGGCAAGGCGTGCGCGCTAGTCGCATAATGCTCTCGTCCGTCATTGATGAAAGAGGCTTTCACGTTTGAGTAATGACCTTTCGGGGGCCACAATAAATGGCACCGCGGGCCGCATGTGGTACGCCAGTTGGACAACCCTGTCTATTAACACTATTTCATCGTCCTCTTTACAAGCAGCAGCCTACAGTTGAAACAAAATTTTCTACCATTAATTTACAAAATAAATCTATTAAAAGCCTGTATCTGGACCACATTAATGACAAAAGTTCTCTCCAATCAATGAAATAGACGATGAACTTAAAGAGAAAAAATAACTCTTGTCCTAGTTTTGTCTTTCATCTTTGTGTGGTAAGCGGTCGTAAAGGCAGAGAAGATACTATTTAGGGCTTAAGCAAAACATATGCCCTATAGATGCTCTTAAATCTGCCTTTTAAGCAAGTCTGTTCTATAGGAACAATATTCTTAATTTTTCTTTTAAAGAACAATGAGCGTATTTATCGCGATGATTCGCTTCTAATCTATCACTAAGCAATGATTTCGTAGAAATCAGAAACAAATAATTACAGAAGGCAATTGATGTTATCAAACAATTAAACGCTAAAATATATCATCGTGTATTTTTTATTTTTAAGTGCAGCTTTCTCAATGCTTAGAGGAATTTTGAGTTTAAATGACGATAACCGCCAAATTTGTTAATTCGGGAAGTTATAATTTTTAACTCTTCCATCCTCTGCCAACTAAATAATTAAATTTATAATGAATACAGTGATCATGTTTTTTGTCATTTTCGTGTAACTCACTAAAACAAAAATATTCATTAGCTTCAAAATGTTTCAAAAATTTTCAAAAAGCATTTTCTTATGAGTTATCATTTTTTAAATCTGAACACTTTAAGTAACAATATATCAGTTCGCTAAACACTAGGAAATATATTAGCGATCAATCTCATACACCCTGTTCTGCACCTCTAGTTGAAGCTTTCCTCACGTATCTCCATGGGCTTGGAGAATTGAAGAGTTCGGTATGAAATGACGGTAGCCCCCAAATTTGTGATACTATAATTAATTTATAACTCCTTCCATATTCTGTCCACGCAGCGTGTCACGAAATATTTCGAAAGCATTTACTTGTGATTTATCACATTTTAAATCCGAACCCTTCACGTAACAAAACATACACTAGGAAATGAATTAGCCATCAATCTCATATACGTATTCCGCGACTCTAGGCACGTGTCTCCGAGTGCCGGGAGCTGGCGCGCGCGGCTGACCTATGAGGATGTCCTGGAGGCCCGGGGGCATGTCTCGGTGCGCCTTCCGGTCGCGGCCGCCGTGCGCCGCCCCCAGCAGCCCGCCGCCGCCGCCGGCGCCGCCCCCGACGCCGCCGCCGTCGTTCTGCACGAAGTCCGGCCGCTGCGGCAGATCGCTCGCCGAGAAGTCCACCTCCACGTAGGCCGAGGCGGCCGCCAGCGGGTTGGCCCCGCCGCCGCCGCCCCCGCCGCCTTTGTTCGCCGCCGATGCTGCTGACCCCTGCCCCACAAGCCATGGTTAACATTCTTCTATAGTTACGTATGTGACGTGGACGGAAGGATATCGCAGGAGGAAGAGGAGAAGATAAGCTACATTGTTAAGCGGTTCCTTATTGATCAATGTTGAAAATGAATCTACGGCTTGTACCAATATTTTTGCAACTAGAATATTTGGGAAAGGATTAGGGCCCATGGGGGTCTCACTCATACAGCATGTGTCGTTTAGTAGGTTCAGGTTGGTCGTGCCTCTTTCAGTCGCGTCCACCCGACCCCACCCGACCCCACCCGCGCCCCACCACACCCCACCCGACCCCCGACCGCCACCCACCCGACCCACCCGACCCCACCCGACCCCACCGACCCACCGACCCCACCGACGTAAAGCGAACGCGACTGAAAAGCACGACACGACCAACCTGAAAAACCTACTACATCTCTACTCTATCTATGACCTGCTTCATGAGTTATCCATGACGCCTCCCTTTCCCCAAACATTCGAGTTGCAAAAAATATCTCGGACAAAGCCCGTAGCATTCAATTTTCAACATTGATTCCAATAAGGAAAACCGCTTAACATGAGCTTATCTTATCTCACTCTTACCTCCTGCGATAACATCCTATTCCGCTCCACGTCACATACTGTATAAAACGTTAATAAAATGAAGAAATTCTATAACGTGTACCGTGCACGAAGATCAGGAGAAACAAGGAAACGTGGTGGACAACGGGTCAAGTTCAGCGTGAAGCGACACTTAGGAGCTCTATCAAAAAGACGTAAATTAGACGTGCAGAGAAATATCCTAATAAGAAGCTATTAACATTGTCTGAGCAAAAATGGAGGCTTTGAGACTAAACGCCGGAGCGGGGACCACACCGCTGGCGTGACCTGCGCCTCGCACATAATACACCTTGACCGCCAGAACGATAATCTCCCGTAGCGCAGCGATATCTGCCGCACACTCAGCTGCCACAGGACTCTGTCTGACGATAGAGGCACGATCACGAAACGGCGGCGGACGTTTGACTCGAAGTGGGCGGCTAGCACCCCCGTCTCAGAGCGGCGGTATCTGTGGCGATTCCCTGTTGCCCAGAGCATATCCCCGGATTCTAGCCCCCGACAAACCTGCCATGTACCAGCGACCTTAATTGCGAAATATGGCGCCGACGGAGCGCCGAACTTATACCTCCAGTCCTGAGATGCCGCTCTTGCGCATGTCCCTACGATTGAACCCAATTTAGACAGTTCTTCCCTAAGTTCCCCCAGCTCAAAAACGGTGAGTAGCACGAAAGGTTAATACAATAATAAAATCCCTCCGAGAATCGCCCCCTATCTCCACACCAGCTCAGTGCCTATCACTCTACCTACAACCGCCACTTATGCGCTTATCCGGCGCCAGTCTTCTTCTTCCCTGTCCCACCGTTCTGGCGCATGAATACTGGCGCGAACAGGCAATCAGCGCGTGCAGTGCGCAGGTCCCGCCGACATAGCCGCTTCGTATAATAGATCGATGCTCATGCTAAAGAACTATCATTCCTAAGCCTGTATGTTGTTATGCCTAACCCAAAAGCTGAGAGCCCCGTCTCATAACAAACGTCCGAGTGTTCACACACATCAATGCTACTACCAGAGAATGAGACCATCACACACGCTCCAGAAGCTAGTAGCGTATCGCTGCGAAGTTAACATTCCCTGAACTATCAGAAGTAAATAATCGCGGCGTAAAATTACAAGATTGGTCATCTCGGAAACACACGCCTGCCCGTTCAAATTAAACAGAATCAACTATCACAGCCAGTCCTCACTCACCACTTAATACCACCGACACCACGTATACAGACAAAGGTGCAAATTTTTCTGGCTACCTACATTTTTTCTCAACTTCATTATTTTCTTTTCTTAAAATATCTCTTCTACATAGATCTACTCTTGTACATTTGTTTTAGTTCAACATACTGCTCTAGAACGGAAAGAAACAACTTCACATTCGTTCATGATGGCTTAGTGCCAGGAAGACGAGTTCTCGAGTGTCGTGTAATCATGATTGCCGGAGCTATTGCACGTAGCCTTATACGAGAAGAGCCGAAACTCAGGAAATAAGCTCTCACACAGGTAGAAAGACTTCCAAGCGCAGCCACACGCGTCTGAACTATAGTCTCAGCGTGAGCGAACTGTCCAGGCACAATGCTGTAATGAGAAACTGGCTCTCCACAAAGAAGTTATTAACCCTCGGACAACTAAGAGGAAGAGTGCCGCTGTGTTGTCAAAGAGAGCAGTTGACTTTCAATCCGCACACCGACAATAACAGACGTACCGATGACTATCCATTTCTCATAGTTAATGCCTCTAAGGAGTACCTTCAATTACGTGAACACGAGGTAACCAGGAGTGCACTCACACACAGAGACAAACGCAGTCGCGACACACCCCCAATGTGTCACTTTTTTCCAACCAGATAACCGCTATGTTACTCCAGAATAAATGACACTCTGCATTTTCCGAGAATAAGAATGTTGCTAAGAAGCGGGATTTGCTCAACAAAGTAGCTTTCACGGTATCAGAGACCGAAGCAATCAATACAAAATAAATGACCCTTCTTAGAAGACCCTCTGGTCATTCGCAAGAATGCAAAAAACTATGCCAAAACACAAAGCAACCCCCACTCACCCCACAACATATTAATCTAAATATTATACACCGATATAACGTCAGCTTCTCCTCACTTCAAAAATCTCGATTAAAATGTTCTTATAACTTCTTATCCCATTTGACGCCACCATGATAAATAGAAGCAAACTTCCACAATTCTCACCGAGGTAATCATTAGTCAGAATTTCTAAATTACGAAGGATTCGAATCACTTTCTGATCTGACATCATTATAGATAAATTTCAATTTAGTTCCTGCTAACTTAGGTAACTTTTATTTTTTATATCTCTATTTACGTTGCCATCATGCTCGGGTTTTAAAATTCATCCCACAGTCTGTGTTCGAATTTCCTCTCTCCGTACCTCTCGTTCATTAACGAGCAGACTGATGCATTGTTCAATTATAATTTATCCTATAATATTCATTTATACAATGTCTATTGAATCATTCTGCGAATTATTATAATATATTAATCAGTTACAGTGCTCTAATTATAATTAGTTCGTTTAAGACACACACACCAATATATATATAAAATGCTCAATTTATCTATGGTCCAGGTAGTTGAGAGTCCCTTCATCTCAGGTCTTTTAACTCTTGTCAACTACCGCAGTTACGAAGTGATGAATATTCTTCTAGTAGCAGGAGCTAACGCTCTCTCGACTGAAGGAGGCGAAACCACAAAACTTGAATGTTCACTCGCAAAAAAATAATTTATTTTGACGCGCTGCAAATGTAGAAAAAGAATAGATACTAGATCTGTGTTGTCTTCGAGCCCCACCTAATTGTACTCGCGCTCGCCCTGCCGATATCGCGAGGCCGGAACGCTGCAAAGTGCATCGCCTGTGCTTAATACATAAGTCATACCTAATCTCCAAGCTCGAAATTGCGTAACAGCCAACATGCAGAAACCAAATAATTCAATTTGCCAGCCTCCCCGTGCCTATCTATAATTGGCAATATGTTATCACAGAGCACATTAAACGCGTGCCCCTACGAAAAGTATGCATCCAGTGCCCCGCCCGTGTATTATATCCTCTCACTTTTAATGCATGCCTTCCCTCCACATCCCGGTCTGTACGGCGACGGAATTTTAGACTCTGCTTAAAGTGTGCGACGATAACTCCCGCCGCTATAATTTCCTCGAGGCCGTGTGACAGTGTTCTGGCGAAGTCCCCGTCGATAATACATTCTTTCACAATCGTGTCTTCTCTCGATGCGCCACTGTGCGCCCAACGAAGAATACTGAATAACTGAGATTAGCAGTTTATTATCCAGAGTGAAAATTTCCACGCCGTCACGGTAAACATTCTCGTCATGTTTTAATTCATTCCTTACTGCTTCTGCGTAGCTCACAGTTTCCCGCTCTACTCCTTGAATAGGGCCATTATCCAGATATTATACATATGTCGACTTCTAGCCTTGCAAAATCGCGTTGTCAGGAAAATTTGCTCAACCGGAACCAGGCTAAATTCTTTCTTATGAGTTGATCTTATTTTTTGTATAAGAGTTGTCTGAAACACTGTTAGGATTGCAAGCCAGCAGTTCCGGTATGAAGTGACATTTACCTGTCTTGTATGGGCTAATACCTCAATCGATAATGACTGACTTACGAAGAGGTACAGATGTTGGTTCTTGGAGTAGGACGACACCTGTTAGCGGTAAAGCGCATATTTGCCTCTAGCCCTTGACAAGCGACTTCAAATCGCGTCCACAAGAAGTAGTCCTACCATGTCCTGTTCTTGGAGCAAGTGAAGAGGTTCCCCGAATGTAGAAATGACAGTGTACGCCCACGAATATTGTTGATACTATAATTAATCTCCCCAAAAGGGTAAGACATCCCTTTTCACTCACACACTGCTAAAAATCTTCAGTCCCTCAACGCAGCGCAGACCTACCCGCACCAAACCGACGAACGTACAACCTTTACATGGAGACCTCGTCACACCTGAAGAACAGGACCGATACCCCTCATTTACAGGTTATCACTGATCACGTCCCTAGTTATAGCCTGCGTACGCAATGATGTTACACAGTACTCGTATTTGTGACGCACTAATAGACACTATACACACAGTATAATATTCGAGTAACAACACCCTAGTACACAATAGAAGAACAGTGTGCCATCAATAGTTCTTACAATAATTCTCATTTTAGTACATCGCGTAGACTCCTAGGGCTGCCGTTCCCACGTGCATCTCTCGAGTAGTCTGCCTGATGACATCTGTGTATCAAAGCCTAGTAATGCCCCTCAGTTGTTCTGCATTCTCATCAATCCATTAGTCTTTGTTGTGTTCTGCTTACATTTCCCGATCCCCTTTGCCCGAGGTTTTTGCACTCGGCCACCCACAGCCATGTAGCAACGAATTACCACGGCTACCGTCGTACAAGTGTGCTCTCTGATCGCCTATTCCCAATCTCAGCTTTTGGTAGAACACCTTACGATTCCGCTAAGGAAACCGTCAGACTACCGATGGTAGTTATATGCTCCTGATCCGACAGATCACGGTTTCAGCGACTGGTGCATATCACACGCCAATGCTCAACTCACAAAACGCTACGCTCTAAGCCGGGATGCTCGTGTGGCGCGAACAGGCGTCTGTTCAACCCTTGATCACAACAACGCTCGCACGGTCAAGTACATGGTCATACGATGCGTATGAGTAACCGCGTTATTGGCTAACACTCCGAAGTCGGTGTAGGTCATTAACATCTCGCTACACCGATGAGATAAGCAGGTTAATTCCCAGCTTCACCTGATCTCCTCATTTCCACGATATGTTCCTATCTAAATAAGCGTCGCACGGGAACCGCCCAGTCTTCGGTTGGAATTGTGGTCGCCTCATCTTGACGACCCCGGCTCCCCGTCTGCCCGAATGCTCCGATACAAAATTCTTACTTTCACCTGAAATAAGCATCTCCTTGTGCCTGACCCCTGCCACAACCATGCTTAGTACATTAACCAT